AGACTAAGGCCGCACTCTAGGCAAATAGTTGTCGGATAGCGAATGGGTGGAGAAATAAACTGCGACGAAAAGAACATGGAAAACTTCAGCCCCTCGTCACAAGTTTCCATAAAAGCGTATCGCACATCAGTTTAAATTGGGAATAAGAGGTTAAAAAGTCAATTGCTCGGCGCGTTAACTCATTACGTTTGACTAATTGCCCTGTTTAGTTTGTTGCTCTTATACTACTTTACGCTGAATATATTCAATTGCACACGTAACTTAGTAAACGAAATGACTTAGTAAACCCGATGACTTGCGAGTATTGAACAACATCGTACGTTTTTACCAGTAGGCAACAAAAAGCTTGAGTTACACTAAACATCATTTTAGTTCTAAAGATTAACTACCTACCGAGAACCCTGAAGTACTTTATCACATATTCCTTCAAAATCGTAACATTTAGACTTCGCCCTTAAATCTTTCATCCGTCTACATGCAGCGCCCAGTGGGAAACGTAACTGGGTTTTTCCTTATAAATCTGCTAAATGGCATGTAATTAAGTGCATTCAATTAGTATGCTTTGCGCTTGGTACCTATCAAAATGTCAGCCTCGTAAATCAATAAGATCTGTCAGCAGGCAGGTGGCGATCCTGGTAGAGGAACTCGGGCACGGGGGTGCAGTGGGCTACCGCTGGTTATCTGGGCCAGGCAAGGTGTCCTTCCCGACGGAAGAAGGATGGGCCGACAATGACGGAGTGGCAGCAAGAGTCCACTTCGGCTCTGTCTGACTTCCAATACTATTGATCTGCATCATTTACCGATAATTTATTCCATTACGCACTAAGCGCTCTACACCTAAGCTATACTCCCAAATCAGTTTATTTATCTAGTTAAGCACCTACACGCAGTGTTTTGTTTCCCCCTCCTCCTCCCTCAGAACAAAATCTACACGCAGCTACCTGCCTGTAACAGGTGAGGAGATCCATCCCCCCCATCCGGCTGTACTTCACGGAGCTGGAGAGCTTACACAGCTTAATTAAAACCTATCACGAAGGTTTAATGGTGTTGCACTAATTGACGTGGTTAGTAAATAGGGCTCTAATTAAGCACATCGACTGGCGGCGCCGCACCTCATTATGTCTGACACGCCGGCTGTAAGTAAGGACTGCAGAACGGATGTTTTTAGCGACCCTGAAGTAACAATGCAGCGAAAAAAAACAGCCTCAAAGTCCAGTTAATAGAACTAAACTTTGTCTATTCGCACTTGTTAACAGCCAAAGCCGCATAGAATTAGACGAGTCTTTTCAGAACTTGAGCTGCTTCTAAACATTATCAAGGATAGGCTATTACTTGTCTTCAAACAGATGGAAAAAAATAAATAGAAATAAATGGAAAAAAAGAGAGCTCAGAGCGCGAGCCTTTTTTAGTGCTACGGGCGTGGCGATTAATACATTTTAACCAGAGAAAATATTCAGCCAAGAAAAAGCCTCACTGCTTATACTAAAGTAGATTCAGTTTTGGCAAACTTAATAGGGGATAATATAATGGAATTGAAATCAATTGTAGAAGAATCTCAATCCTCGAATTAATCCCGCAATTAAACCATCAGCTCCCTGTAAACCTGTACCCTGTCTTCCCCCCCCAGCCCCCTGCAGGCACTACATTCCTGTTTCAAAGTTTGATATAAGTGGAGTTTAAAAAGAAGCGCATCTACAGCGGAGAATTAAAAAAAAAAACAGCTGCAGGTTGAGTCAGTGGGAGACAGATAGGAGCTCCGGGAAGGCCGGCGGTGGGGGCCACACCTCTCCCGTAAGTGCAGACATTTTAAATGACCACGCTCGATATAGCTGTATTTGGCAGTAGCTTTTCGCAGCTTTTCATGAGGAAAGGTGCAATGGTGGATGAAATGACAACACAAGGAAGAGCTAAATAAATAAATATGAAAGAAATCACAATGCGTGCTGACACTAATGACTCATTGAGACATGAAATGGGACCTGTCTGTTTCCCACTGGAATTTCTCCACGAATCAAGCCTCTGAATGGTCGCATTTCACTTGGCTTCAGAGGAATGACACAAGAGCCCGAGGCTGCCTGGGGCTTCTTTCGGGCACGATGCTGGACGGCGCCGATTACGGCATTATTAAGGCTTAAACGTACCGCTGTGGGAGCGTCACGGACTCCCAGCCACATCGATTTCACAGGCTGGGCTCACAGATCGGCGGAAGATGACGGCCGAGAAGATCAGAGCAGCAGATTAATTCATAGGTTTAAAGTCAGGGTGTCATGAATGAAACAAATTAAGCAACATGTCCCATACAGAAGCTTTAGGGAAAAACACATTATCGAGGTGTCATCATTAAATTAGAAACAGGAAAAACATCAACTGCATTTAAATTATTCTCCAAATCCCAGTAGGCATATACAAACCTTGTCTACATACTGGTTTTCATTAATTGAGAGCTACATTCGGGATGTATGGGTGAGCTGATAATAGTAGTAAAACAGCACCTATGATATTAGCAGCTAACATATTTGGTTGCATGTATGTCTGAAGATTAAGAAAATGGTCGCAGAATGACATTTCAGTCTCATGAAACGGGGACGACGTCAGTGTGTGGTTTAAGAAACCACATCTGGCAACACAGCTGGAGATCCCGGCATTAAGGGTGACCTGGGCCTGTAATTATGAGAGCTTTCAGAAAGGGTCACAGGTCTGCTGGTACCCTTCGCCGAGCACCCCCGCAGCCCGGGCGATGCTGTGCGACGCGGCACTCGGCCAGAGACGGCGTACGTGAGACGCCGTGCGTGAGACGCCGTGCGTGGGACGCCGTCAAGATCCCCAATCCAAACAGAAATGTATAAACACGCACCGGTCTTAACCATCACCAAAATAAATACAGAGAAAAAGGGGGCTGATTCCAGGAGGGGGCCGGCTGACTTGTGGGGACGGGCGAAAGCCTTAATTTCACACCATGAATGGAGGATACAAGGAACCCCTGTGGCTCTCCATCAATGTAGACAAGGCCATTCTGACAAATGACTGACAACCAGCACAAAAGGATGGGACAATCTAATCCCACCAGGCTGCCTTCACCTGCACAGAGCAGAGTCTGGATTAAAGAAAACCGTAGAAGTCAACCAATCAAAACCAGCTTACCATATATTTGTACTTTAAAAAATCAATCACTTCAATTGAGTGGCGTTTCCCGTCCCCTACTTGAAAACAGGCACCATTCCTGGTTCAAGAGCATGGATACTAGACCACACAGCAGTAGCAAACATTACTATGCTTCTCTCAGTTCACCCTTTCTGTATACAGTATAAATAGGAAGACACAGGCCAAATAGGCAGAATGTCAAACAGGTATCAGACATGGTGTTGCTGCAGTCTGTGGAGCTGACTGGAATGGAATGGCTAGACACAGAACTGCGAAAGGAGAAATCGTTTTATTAAATTATTAGCAGTAAATTTCAATAACGTACAGCGGTTTAAGTCAGCTTGCAGATTATTGTACAAAGGAGCATGTTTGTCTTTCTTAAGCTTTACATCAACATGATGCCTGATATGTAAACCTAGGGCAGTCACAGGGTTCGCAGTCCAAAGGAGACAAAACGCGGGAGCAAAAGAAAATTTACACTCTTATTCAGCTGTGATTAAATAGATTCTGCTTTTAAATCATTTCAATTTGAATCCGAATAATAGCTGCATATATTAACCATGTCAACCTCATCATAGCTGCAGTTCTTTGAAAGGGAGGGGGGGCTGAAGCAAATAAAAAGCCCAATGTCATTTAGACGCCAAAAGCCAGTCATTCCCTAACAAATGTACATTTGCCCAATCACTTTAAGCAATTTCGCCGATAAAAAAAGCCTTGAGATGGAATATACGAGACCTTGACAAGGATAGAACTAAATGTACGTATATAAAAACATTTTTCTAAAAACTAAAAGCAAATGCTCCCTAGCCCCACTTCTTTAATCTTTAATCTGTGGTCGGATGCTCCAAGGCCACAGACACAAATGCAGGCTCATCTGTATTTACTGTTGCACTTAAGAGGAAGCTTCCTCTGCTGATATTGTTGCTTTTATTACTTCTGGCACTGCTTTGCTACACTCAGTATTCAATTAGTGGGCACCTTCCAGTTCATTACAGAATAATTACTCTTTTGCCATTGATGCCAAATGCTGTTTTGGCACGGCAAGCTGCACATCTATTAGAGCAGCAGAGGCACAATATTGTCCCCGCAGCAATTCCCACGCCGACATGCAACTCTCAGGCCCATCTTCTGCAATCCCTTCCCGTCCCACCACCAACTTTTAAAGCGCCCATTTAGTGCTCCCATTTTTCAGCATTAATTTTCTGTAGCGGTCATCTGATGTGTAATTACCGGAAGGTTTTAAAGAGGCTGATGGCATCCCCAGCTGTGTATGCGTCTGGGGGTAGTGGGGGGGGCAACCATACTGTAAACCTCGCCCCCCCCCCCCATTCAGCGGATTATTTCAGCAGTGTTGTGCACTTCTTTTCGCTTTCTAAGCTAGCAGCGGACGGAACGACACGTATGAAAGTGAACATGACGCATCTTGCTCACTGACTATAACTACTCACTGGCTGCCATTTATGCTGGGAGACAACAGCTTAACGTGCGAAGAATTTCACGGTTGTTTCACTTCAGTATAATGATTTCCTCACTTGTAGAAAAAGAAATCCCCTCTAAACTGTCACTTAGCAACTGAGCCAAACCTCATCTCATTCATTTCACACAGTGATCCAGTATTACGCTGCACATCCAATTCACCCAAAGTGATGTGCATTTTCAGGTCAAAATGTAAACCTAGTATTTATATCAAACAAATAAAGCTATATGGGTTAAGGGAAAAATGCCTGAAAGTGAATTTATATACAAAAGCCTGGAATTAGGATTTTCATAGATAGGTACAACAATGAAAACTTTTAGAACTCACAGAAAAACAGACAGCATGACCATTGCAATTGATTTTAATACAAATACAAAACACAAAAGATCTGAGGCCAATTTATTAGAGTGAGAAGTAAAAGTAAAAATTAACTAGAGAGAATATATTTATATATTTTCTATATACAACATATATAAATTTCTATATATTGTATATTTAGTCAGTCCAATGAAAGCAATCAGAGTAAATGCAGATTTAAAATTATTTGCAAAATAAAAACATTTTAAACTGGAATGTACTAAACCTATTCAAACATTGATAATAAAACTCCAATTCATTGCAACAAAAATTACTCTTGACACTTAATACATGTTAACTGTACATGAGGGGAAAAGCAACAAATTAAACTCTGAAATTATAATATCCCTTTTCTTTAGGTAATACAATTAAAACCGGAGTCATTTTGTAACTAACCAATGTATGCTTGTATGTATATATATATATATATGTATAATATCACACAAAATAGACAGAATAACAATTAAAATGGTATTAGCATCAGACTCTGGATGAGCCCACAGTGTGTACTGGTTTGGGTGTTGGCTGAGCTAGTTAGTTTACAAAAAGTATTAATTACACAGGTAGAATCAAATATAGGCTTAGCAGTCTTCAATGGTTAAGGTGCAAAGCACGAAGATACATTTTGTCCTTAGATGCAACATCAAATTTCAAATCACACATTTACAATCTTTCAAACAATTTTCAGCATGAAAACGGCACATTAACAAGGACATTTTTGCCTGTGAATATAACATATAAAACTTCTGATGCAATCATATCTTTAAAATAAGGTATTTAGTCAAGTATTTGAGAACACACAGTTTAATGTGATAGCAAATCCATGTAACACCACTTTCACCCATATCAGATGATTGCAATAAAACATATACTCATGATTACAATTCCAGATATCCAACAAACAATACAATTTATTCCAAGCTACAAGTTAAACATCTGTTAAAAATGAAATAAGATATTGCACCTTACAAAAATCTGAGTAGAAAAATGTCAAACACGGAAATACCAAGGAAAACAACAATTATATTACGAATTGACTGCAATTGGCTAAACACCGTTTCTTGATGTTCTGTAACAAAAGAAATACCATTAATGTAACAAAACAGTTTCATCTCACAGAATCAAAAAGTCTCATATAAAAGTGAAAATAAGTAGAGCACAAACATACTTCAAAAATTTCTCTTGATGAACACAACATTAATCAAGACTGCTAAGCCCATAACAATTTATTGCAAAGAAAGAATATTGTTGCTGAAATGTTACAAATCCAGGATATATTAGTTTTCTTTAAAAAATCTCAGACTGAACAAGGATTCCTGGATATTGTCCATTCAACCATACTGGTGTCCATGTTTTCAGTTACAATGACAAGTTCCTGATTCAGAAAATACATTTTAAACATTCTTTAGATTGTAGAAGTCATCCTATAGTTAGTGTTTTGCTCTAAGAAAAGAAAAAAAGAAGTCTTAAGGCATTGCAAATTTAGAAACCTCATTTATATAAAAGCTTGTTTTCATTCAATGATTCCAAAATCTTCAGTGAAATGAAATCCATTAATGTTCCTGGAAGGCAAGCAAATGTTTAAATGTTACCACAAGACCACAAAAAGGATGAATAGTTTAATAAAAAAAAATTGCACTTTATATTTTTTTCCATTTAATGACGAAAACATGAAAAGTGGGAATTTTTAATGCAAAGGTAGAATCCTGTAGTTAGTAGAGACATGACTGCAGAACCGTGGGTGTTACTTCAACATCTGTGACAAGTAAATGAGCTGCAAGTGAAGCCCTTCAAATGAACGGACCCCCACGTGCTGACAGGTACACTGTCACACCACTAATGTGTCAGTAAGCGCCATAATTAAAAGGGCATGGACTCAGCGACGCAGAGGGTGGTCATGGACTCAGCGACGCGGAGGGTGGGCATGGACTCAGCGACGCGGAGGGTGGGCATGGACTCAGCGACGCGGAGGGTGGGCATGGACTCAGCGACGCG